AAGGTGGCCGTTCTGACACAGTGGCGTATAAAGAGTTCGCCAACGTTGGTTGGACAATTAAAACAGTGAGATTTGTCACGTGATTATCACCAAAGCAGATGGTAAGGGGGACATCTAAAAATACTGCAAGCGAACCATACACAAAAGGGAAGAAGTAGCTAAAGTCATGGTACGCGATTTCGGAACCTCAGGACAAGAGTTCTAGAAATGCCTTCTCCATATATAGAATGAAACAACGGCAAACATTTACGGAGTTCTGTAGGAATAATCAGTTAGTCAAAAGTTTCTAGTTACAGAAACCGTTTTCTTCTTCGAGTTCATAATAAAATAAGCTTCTGTGATTTCCGGTGCTGAAAGTTCATGAATAGGTTTGAAGCATAGTTCGTGAGGAAATTAGATTTACTTTCCCAGTAGCCTCGGTTACCGGGTCTAACGACGTGACTTGTATTCCGTTTTGCATTCTCAGAAACTTTTAATTAATTGAAGTGCCATCGTTCTATTTTTAATAACCCTTTTTTGTCGAGCGCACACTTTTTGTCTTTCGGAGGTTTTTCTCACTTGAAGAGCGCTGTACTCCGCATCGTTGAATGATACTACCGTGTTAAGCTCTGAAGTATGTTTAAGAGATCTCGGATTTGTTTGACACCCCACTTCAGTCTAAATTTATTGAAGAATCCGAGTGAATGAGAGAGACCTTTATGCCACAAAAGAGTTGTAGGTCAGTTTGTTTCGCTAACGATAAGGAGGTATATATAACAGAGTTCATGGGTAAATCTCTGTACAATGTGGTCCAGGTGAGGTTCGCCAAGGAAGTTTGCCATAATCTTTTGATTACAGTTCAAAGGCTTTCAGGAAGGAGTTTTAGGAATCAGCAATAAATTAGCCATATCGTTTTGGGATTTCACGCAATAGTTCAGCCACTTCCTTCCTGAGTTACAATGAATTTAGCGTATTGATAGCGGATCATACAACCTACTGCACCGACCTTCCGGACACCAGCTTATATTTCATATGACTGCTCTTTTGATACATACATACCTCACACAGAAAGCATCCGATCGTCACAATATTTCAAAGTAAATAAATCTCTTGAGCAAATCTAGCTGGGTTGATGAATGCCTCTTAGTCAGCCAATCAGCTTATCACCCACAAACAGTGTACGGTGGTTCCAGCCAATACAGTTTCAATGAACCGAAAACGGGAGAATCTGGTAAATGAAGTCAGGCGCTGGCGGCTATGTCATCAGTTAGTTCGCATTGTATATTGCTCTGATTGAACGGGAGAGTGGGTAGTTTGATGCACGAACGTCCATGATTGAACCATGTCTGCCAGTATCATTAACCATTGGTGAGTTGAGTCTCAGGGTCCCTATCCAGGGAGGCGGCAGTTATCGTCACGACTCAGTTTACTGATTAGCGTTTTCATAGTTTATTCTCAGGTTATATACTCTTCACCTCTCGTTCGTTTTCATTCGGCACACGGCTGGGCAAAAGGACCTCTGTGGAGTAGACGTTCCTCTGACATGCGAAGTATAAGTCCAGACCTATGGAGCTTTAGTAACTCATCTATCGTGGCGGAAGACTTTTTACTTAAAACTGTGTGGCTTTCCTTAACACTTTAATCTGATGTTCATCTCAGATTTATCAATGTGTCGCAGACCCCGATGGTCAAGTGCTGACAGCTTTCGTATGTCCTGTGTGTAGAGGCAACGTTTCTTGGTCGTAAAACAGTATGCATCGCACCACTGCAGTGAATACTCTGTTACATCATTGATACCGGAAGTTGAAAGGGCTGCCCTGACCTTTCCGACTCGAGAAATAATCTTACTTCCGGCCAGTCCACCGGAAGTTATACATTTGCCCAGGTAAACTAATAAATCTACTACGTCTGTCGGCTGATGTTTAAGCAGTACTTTGCAGGTGTGAAGTGCATACCAGTGTTGCAGGATTAGTTGGGTTATTTAAAACGACTGTTATCTTTAGAGGGCCTAAATTAAGGTGAGTACTATCGTTTGTATAATGAACGCCTTTGAGTAAGGCCCTCTGGAGCGTTCCGAACCGCGGGGTTCCAGAAGTAGGTGGAGGAATTACAAACAGCACTTCATTAACTAACTTAAAGAGGGATAGTGACGAAGTTCAGCCTTGTTTTGAACAACCGGACGTGGTAAACTCAGGTGAAATCTTTCTGTACACTCACAGGTGTTGGTAAGGGATATAGTTTTTGAAGGAATAACTGATCGTCAAATACCACCAAGGTTTTTGGCAGTCGACTTAGTCAAAAAGAGCTTTCAGATCAAGGAAAACAACCCGTATGGAAAGCTTGAAAATATGTCGCTGTTCAAGTACATGGTCGGTGCATCCTCGGCCAGGGTGAAATCCAGTTTGATCTTCACGAAACTGTCTCTCCCGATAATAAATGAAACTGCACAAGATAATGCTAGGAAGCACTCTGGATGTGACGGATACTAGGCTTATGCCACAGTGGCTTTTGCATAACGTGCTTGCGCCGTTTCTGAAGACTGGGATCACGGCCGATGCGCTCCATTCCAATGGCACCCTGCTTTTAATCCAATTCTTCCATAGTAGGATAGTCAGATTGCACACCAGGGCTACACAACTTCTTTGAAGCGTGCGTTGTACAGCCCATCGGGACCGCGTGCCTCCTCACACTTGATAAACGATATCCAATGTTGGACAGTGTCGACGTTTTATTCAGGTTTGGTTGTATCGAAAGTGGCTGACTGAACCGCCCTTTAAAATATTTAGCCAACTCCGTNACAGTGTCGACGTTTTATTCAGGTTTGGTTGTATCGAAAGTGGCTGACTGAACCGCTCTTTAAAATATTTAGCCAACTGCGTTTGCAAATGAATCACTGCCACATCTTTCTTTCAATTTGACTCGCTGACATCCTTTTTGTTAGTTGGTTGGCTCATTTAAAACGGCGCTGGTTTCGTTACTGGCGAAAGTCTTCTCCATCTCCTGGACTTTTGCAATCCACCAGCGTTCTCTGTCACTCGTTAGATTCGCGAATATCCAGCATTTTAAGGTTCTGCATGCGCCATCGTAGTCGCTAAGTGCCAATATGGCATGGCATGATGCGGATTTTTGGCGGCAAGCTAGCATTAGCAAGATACCTTAGTGTCTGCAACCTTGAAAAATTTGCCCAGCTCTAGCGTTTTTAACATATTTCTGCTGTGGAACCTGGCGAAGCCCACGGATCAATACAATACCAGATTTTCAAGGCTTACACAAGTAGAAATGGATTATAATTGACTTTTACAGTATTTCGCGCCTGCTCTAATATCTGGTCCATCCCGAGTTCGTTCACATTTTCACAGACCTAATTGGTGATGCACCCTTTTGGCCGTTTTTGTCACCTGCGCCTCTTATGACATTCTCCCGTCCAAACCCATTACGTTATTCACCTGAATTACTCCCTTTTGCGATCAACACTATCTGAGAAGTTGGGGATAAGAAGAGCTTTTTGAAGAGTATCGAAACATGAGTCGGTCGTCAATCTGAAAATACCCATGTGGGTTTCGAACCCGGGCCATCGAGCTGGCAACCCCTGGTCTTATGCACTCGGTCATGTCTCAATAGATCAAATTTCAGAGGAGCGAATGATTTGTGTGCGGTCATGCATACTTTGCCTCGTCGGGAACGCTTTGGGACTTCCACCTTGAAGAAAAAACCGACGTGCATAAGACCGATAAGTCTTGGTTCCCGCACAGTTGTTTACAACTTCGATCTACTCCACTGAGTTCATGCATGCTCACGGCATAGGTGTGACCCAGTGCTCTGTAGGTCCAGTGATGTAGTTCAGTGTTATTCAATGGTCTCCTTACGGAACACAGTCTATGTAACCCTACCGAACGATTGGATGGCTTTTTTCTTAGTTCAATTCATCATAATGTCGATTTATAGACTTTGGGTAATAACTGATTGCTCCGCATTAATGCATCAGCTTTGTTGAACGAAAGGTTAATTATTATCCTATGGTGACCGTTCTTCGTAGATGTTGCTGACCACTTGGCCTGTACCGACTTCCCACCTCGGGTAACGTATCACCATGCATCCTTTATATAAACTAAGTTATGTCATCCCACCAAAGTAGTGTCGAATTGTTGTTCCCAGCTTTTTTTGGAAGATATATTCTGTATACCGTCTTAATCTGTTTGCTGCTTTGCTTGACAGAAATTATAGTGGGGGTATTAGCGAAGAGTAGGGTAGGCAGTCAACCGTCCCGCTGACTGTTGACTGTAACCTTCGTCATCAAGCTAGGTTCACATGGGAGCACCCATAGGAATACTGGATCCTTAGGTAGCAATCTATGGTTGACTAATCCGTCATTTTTTCAAGAAATGGATCTCAGCAAATCATCCTTTCGGTTGTTTGAAACGCGTAGAGGTTAAAGCCGAAGGAGCTCCTCATCTCATGTATATCTGATATCGGCTACAACTTAACATTTTGATCATACTAGAATCAGCTGAAATTGCAAAAGATGTATCTTTCTCCATCGTCTTATACAGTCCTGCAGCTTGAATGAATTGTATGTACTCTTTATGTATGACTGTATGTTCACTAGGTCATTGCTGTCTTCCTGCTACCCCGAAAAGCAAGCTTTTTGACCTACATTCCTATGCTAGACTGCTGGTTATACGACAGTGAAGCATCGGTGTTGAACGCTGATGTCATGCTGTTGATGATGATGACGATGATTGGGAATGGAGGGGAAATGTTTCGCGTTCGTAACACACAGTTACAGCAAAAAATACTTCATAAGTGAATCACCGCAAGGTATATGTTTTTTCAACTGTCCGTACGCGGCAGTGAATGGTGAACAATAATAGTAACCACGACTTTGGCGAACTGCTGGTAGGTGCATTTCGACGTACTGTTTTTCCGGCTCTTCACAACCGTTCTTTCTTTGCCGTTTGATTCTGCGCACGTGATTAAGTACCACCTACCTAGCTGCTATAAATTGGTTCTACTATTCGCAGGAAGACGCAACGGGTAAATGGCTTTTTGAGGAGGTATGCCGTCGTCAGGACGTCATGGAAGAGCGGGAGTATTTCGGTCTCCGGTATTTGGAACATGACTTACTGTCCTCCCCGACCAAGGTAAGCTGTTTGTTTGCTTTTCACTTCACGTGTTACCATCCAGCGTGCTCTTGTTTTTTTTAAATGCAGTTCCAAATCCAAAAGTTCTACTTGGTCTTGCTTTAAATTATAGGCCAACATAAGTTCTGGTTGGGAGTAGTCCTTCCAGAAACGATGTACGATCGCACTACCCGTCAGACAATCTGCCATACGATCCTACTTCAGGTGAAACTCCTTCCTTTGTTGCAGGAGATTACTGAATTCATCAGCTGTTCATCTCACACCCATGATCTTAATTTGACGTCTTCTGAAGGTCCATGAATCTTCATCAGATAAAGGCTGTTAGCTACTGGACCGCTAACTCCTCTGTAAGATGGACTCGCTCAATGACTGTGTGAAAAACATCATTGTCAATTTTGGAAAATTTTAAATGAAAACTTTTGTGGTGATGTTCAGCCAGCGTCCAATAAATTAGTAGTTGAGGTATCTCAGTGGTTAAGGCGCACTCTGACTGACTGGAAGCTCCGTGGTTCGAACTCAACCTCGGCATCTCGACCGTTTCTGTCTTGGTTTCAGCGACCTGGCAGTATCTCAGCCATCGTACTTACTTTATTACTTACTTACTTATTATTTACTTACTTATTATCTCGTGAAAACCAACCACAAGAGGTGGTTGATTACGCTACCGATATAATGAAACAGTTTGAGTGACGCAACGCACTTTGCCCTTCTTCAACACCTAACCAAATTGTGTATAGTTTTGGGGACTCTTTGTACATAAATCCGGGACACAACCATGTTCCCATTGCAAATGATCCATAATTTACCTCATAGGACACTCTTGGGGACATCAGTTGGGTCAAGTTACCGATTTCCCAATTCGTACATGAACGCAAAATTGGATGTATCTGCAGGTAAACACTCATCTGCAAATTGCATTAGTGCTTACGGAAGGGTCTTCCGAACCTGCGCTAGATTCATGGTTAACGTCGTCGTAATTTTCGAACAAGTTTCTTTCCCCACATAGATCTATGACTTATTTATCAGAGCAAATGATTAACGCTCTTCGTTCCACTTACGGTCTGCCTATTTTTCTTGCTCCAGCAATGGATCGATTTAACCCGCGGTCTCTTTGTCCAATTGAAAAGTGAGTTACAATACATTCCTCAGTCTTGTTCTAGGCTAGCGTTTTTGCAACTAGAGTCCATTTGATCGCCTCATTGAAACAGCGTCTGAAAAGCTGAATGGCCTAAGTACTGTGCGAACCAAGCAAAATTTAGTCGTATGAAACTGCTGAAGACTGTTGTGCGCGTCCTTCCACAAAGGTGGAGTCCGTTACCGAATACCGTCGAGACGGCGGATCCACCACAAAACAACCATAGAAAAACTTAGTTGAGTCCGGTTTCTACCGAGCATCCTTCAAAATTTACATCAGTTTGCTATACTGAGCGACTGAACCTGTGCGCTCGGCATGCCGTAGCAAAACGGCGAAAGTCTAACCATTCTTTTACACGTCTTCCGTAATTTTCGGTCCGCACACCGTGTTCATGGTTCATTCTATTACACACACTGTGGGTGCACACACAACCCACTCCCAGTAAGGCAACCTGAATGGGAACTGACTGCATTAGGGCTACTGGTGTAGGGTCCGAGTCAATCACTCAATCTGGGCAATCTAATTGTCCAGTTCAGTCAACAAACCAACGTCCGGCTTGAGCCATGTTGGGCGATGACTTCAACCGAATACTAGCTGAACTAGTTAAACCTACATCTGCCAGACTCTTCATAATATTCTGCATTACCTTCTGACATATTTCTGTCTTCGTTTGTACTGCGCTTTGCCAAGCAAGCAGGCTCTCTATGTGCATTACAACCAGGCCACCAGTTTGTTGAGCTGGGCAAATTCATACCTTCAGACACATCCAGAGTGTCCTTAAGTCTTGATTATTGATATTCCGAGGATATATGGTTTTTCTAATAAAGATTTTGTTGTATAAGTGGAAAAACTTCATTTTCAAGTACCATGAAGCACTATGAAGCTGTTTCATCCTTACTGAGATTCACAATCAATGCGAATCTCACAGAAACCCCATGAAATTTCCCAATTGTGGGATAAAACAGCTGTACCGTGCTTCTCAGCACTTCAGCACGGATTGTCTTCACTAACAGCACAAACTCTGCCTTAAAGATGCTGATTATACTATACTCCTGGTCCAGGCATCGGACTCTGATAGTCAAATGTCTGCTTGATTGTCCGTCAAGTGGTGAAATGATTGATATTGTACGTCACGGTTTACTCTACATGTTGTTTGTGGCGTGTTGTTGTCGTTGTCACAAATTTTCACTAGAATTTTCCGAACGGATTTACCAATATAAACCTATTTCTGCTATCTGAATTGTAGGAAGCAGATGATGGAAACTTGTTATCCAGGCGTTGTCCGTATCTTCTTCAGTAGCCTTTTTTACTAGTCAGAAAGTGCGTTGCAGGCAATAACCTATGAAGTCCAGTTCCATTCAGTCATCCGCCAATTCTGTGACAATTTTCATCACTTAATCTAACCTGGAAGGAGATGGAAAAACAAAGACTAATATTATGAATTTCACTGGTTGCTATTCGTGAGATTGATCCAACATAACCTTGGAACCGATTTCCTCCAAGTGAAAATCGATCATTATTGCATCTTTGTTCGTATCCACTGGTCCATGTGAATTGTTTGCCATAATTCAGTAACCACTTGGTCAAAATAGTATACAAAAGGAATCATTTTGTCGCGAAAGATTGAATATTTCGAAGCACATTAGCATTTTGAACCGACCGTCGTTCGATGTGGCCTGTATAGTCCCTCAGCGCATAGTTTTGCAGGAAAAAAAAGTCGATGGACTACCCTGAACCTCACATATTTTACTGTGTATTTGAAGATGAACTCTACGAATCATGCAAAGTCCGCCGTTTGCATCACTATCGATCGCTCAGGCAGTTTCGGACAACTAAGCAGTTTTTGGGCTATATAATTCCTGCCGATTGGATAGCAGCTTTGCATCGGAGAGCTGTCCAATAAACTATTTCGTTAGGTTCATGTATCACTTACAATTACCAGAGCAATGCACTCTCCTACTAATGAGCCACCGCAATGAGTGTACCGTCCAGCAATATTGAGTGCCACGGTATGGTGATTCCGTTTCCTCGGAAGCCTGTCCTACAGCAAACTATTGTCAACGTTTTCAACACCCTTCTTCAGCAACCGCTGAGGGGATGGGTCGGAAACGGTAGCTTGAGAGTTGAGTGTTGCAACTGGATGCTCCTTCTTCAATGAAATATATCCTCGTATAGTACTGTTGAATCGATACATGCTTTCAGTAGGTGCCAAGATCTACACATTTATGGTGGTAAATCCTCACGCTAGATCCGGCGTTTGGAAACGCTATCTTACACTTCCCTCACCGGAGAAACGTAACTTCAGTTGCATCCAAATTTTTTTAGACAGCTTTGTATGCAATAAATACTTAAGACTGGGTGACCGGTCGTCGTATTCATAATTGAGAGGCACTAATGCACGCAATGAATCTGTAGACCTACTGGTGGTCACCTCAACTACTTCATAAAATGCGTCGATTTATCTTCATAAAGGAAACTACTCACAAGGTTGCTGAAAAGTTTTTGAAAGCCCACGACCGGTTTCGTCCTTCTTGGGGCTCATCAGGTAGGCGCAGTCCCCGGGTTTCCGTCAACCTTATGTTCTACTTGAACCCAAATTAGACTGTTTTTTCGAGAAATACACTCATTTGCAAATCAATTTACTTTGGTCGTGGGCTGTCGAAGAGTTTTCAGCAACCTTGTGAGTGGTGTAGTTTCCTAAAATAAACTGCGATATCTCGAATATCGTGCCAACTGAATCGCGCGGCGGCCTGTTTGCAGCACATTCAGCACATCCATATCATAGACGAGAGATTCAGTTGAGTCTCGTGAAAACCAATTTGATTTGCAAATGAGTGCATCGAGTTATCGCTCTTTATTCCATTCTTTGTTCTGATCTCATCAGTGCTTGATCTGTATCACAACTGTGACATAATCCGACAAGTAGTGCTATTCGCGTACTCTGGTTCAACGTGCATCCTATCCGCAGTAATTTTAGTTGGTGGCGGTGCAATGCCTTAACACTTGTGACACTCGGAGCATCAACCGTCTAACTCAACAGACAGCTGAGTTAGACCAGTAGTGCAGCACACCTTTGCTATAGTGTTTTTTTCTTGTGTGACAAATCAGACATTTTGGGGACCGAAAGGGAGTAGGAAGGGATTTTCTTGACACGGGATCGTGTTAGTTCATTGGTTCTTACAAGATTGAGGATGGTCATTGTAAACGTCAGTTGGGGACAAATGTCCTGTCGGTTTTGCAAGCAAGATACAGATTCAGTCCGGAAATTGAACGGAACTGAATAAAACGACTACTATCAAGAGTTGGTCACTCTATAAGGATGAGTTCTAGGGGGGTGGTTAGTATACTCTCATTAGAGTGGCTGGGCTTTCAGGCGAGCGGGTTGTGCTCAAAGGGAAGGGAACAAAACTGTGAACATTAAATAAGCTTGAAGTACTGAAACTTTGGATTCTATCAACATTTAGCTGCTTACCACCATTTGAAAGTTCCTGCGAGACAACCAAAAACCGATGTCACTGAGGTTGTTACAGCTGTATGCCGTGAGTTCGGCGACTATCTGAGGAGTTCATCAAGAAAGGCGGAACGGGTCGTGTGCTAACAAAGAGTCTTCAGTAACCACATTAGTAGTAATGCTGGAAATGGGTATGAATGTCAGGGCACCGTTGCAAGAAGGTTTTAGGATCAAGATTGTCGGTTAAGAACCCATAATGATAGAATTGACGGACATATCTGCTGCGAATTATCTTTGCAAGCGCCACTAGCGTTGCTAAATATCCAAAGAAAATCACTATGGAGCAGTTTCTCGTTGTTGATGCCAGTAATCTCCTTTTTTGCGAGATACATTCGGCGAAAATACGGTTAATAGTTTGCCAACATTGGCTTTCCTCCAGATCATGTAAATCACCATCGACGTCAGTCCACGAATTTCGTAATAGCTAACCATGAGTTTGACTCTTTCAACAACTATTTAAAAGATGCATAAATGGTCGTGCTAATCAACTTGTGTAACGTTTTCAAGAAAAACTCGGGTTCCACGTTGTTATATGCACTCAATGGATCATTCCCGATTGTAAAGGGTGTGCGGAAATGTTTGCATATTGTACAATTTACGGCTTGTCTATGTCTAGATGACCATTGTTATTTAATTTTTAAGATTAATTCACTGATACGAAAAGCACACAACACTCTCATAATGAAGATTTACTTCAGAGTTAGGCGGACGTTTTCTGCTCAGTCTACTGTTAGTCAGACGTCGTAGCATCTTACTGCATTCAGCGATCATCCGGCAAAGTACCTGCTGCAGACAGGTGCTGTCATTCGCACGCCGCAACCATGTCAGCAGGCTCACTCACGGGGACCCGATTGGATATGTTTTTCGTTATTTTCCAACACGGCTGATGTTCTTCATTGGGTATGAATTTATATATTCGCGTAGATTATTGTATCACTACTTGGTGGGAACTACCTAACAATGGTGTAAGGACAGTGGACATGGACACGATAAGATAAGCAGAATGGACTGAAAAGCAACATGGATTATGCTGTTCTATTCACGGATCCATGATGACAGACCTTCGGTGGCCGAGCTTGTCTGGCAAGTAACTGCATGAAATTGTGGTGCTGTCCTCGTGACTCCTTGTCAGCGAACCGATGATGGCGATGAGTGTAGTAGAAGTGAAAAAGCGGTGTAGGTTCCAACTACGTATGTAAACATTAAACTATCAGTTACCATGATAATTTTACGTTTGAATTCACTCGTGTTAACACATGCATTAAGCAATACCAAGGGGGTCAGTCCACTGAGAATGAGTCGTCTACTCACTACATGCATATCCGTTCCCAAGTAGCATCTACTAAACCCTAATAAGTAGTGTAAGGACTTTGTATTTTCTAGTGGATACACCTCTCTTGAACACGCGTTATCGGTATTTTTGCACCGAATTTTTCGGCTCTACCCTCTTTCAAGTATATTTCTGTGCTAAAGTAAAT